AGAGAGAGAGAGAGAGAGAGAGAGAGAGAGAGAGAAGAGAGAGAGAGGGAGGGAGGAGGGAGGGAGGAGGGAGGAGGAGGAGAGGGAGGAGAGAGGAGAGAGAGGAGGGAGAGTGAAAGAGAGAGAAAAGGAGGGAAAGAGAGAGAAAAGGAGGGATGGGAATGGCGGATGAGGGAGGAATGGGGGGGAGAGAGAGAGAGAGAGAGAGAGAGAGAGAGAGAGAGAGAGAGAGAGAGAGAGAGAGAGAGAGAGAGAGAGAGAGAGAGAGAGAGAGAGAGAGAGAAGAGGAGAGAGGGGGGGGGGGAGGAGAAAGATAATAATAATAAGAGTAATAATAATAATAACAATGATAGCGAATAAATAAGTGAATAAATACACATCCATGTCTCAAATCACCAAAACGAAACACTAAACTTACCAATATTAAGATCATCGTAAAAACCAGACCACTCAAAGTTACGAGAGAACTTGCGAACATCTGCGCTAAACTTGGAAGCTATTTCTTGGTTGGAAAGTAGGCCTTGAACCTCGGCTCTCGAAGGCAGCCCACTCTCCTTCATGTTCAGCAGGTGTGTCCAGACGAACGAGCCAACTGTTGAGGAAAAGGGACGTTTAAACAGCTGTTGGGAAGGTGGTATTTTGGTATTTGGTTCTCTGGAGGATGGTATTTTGGTAATTGGTTCTCTGGAGGATGGCATTTTGGTATTTGGTTCTCTGGAGGATGGTATTTTGGTAATTGGTTCTCTGGAGGATGGTATTTTGGTAATTGGTTCTCTCCGTGTTCTTTTGTTTGGTTAGGTTTAGGCGTTTGATTTGGATTTGTATGTGGAAGGGTTTGTTTTGTTTGTCTGGTTGTCTGTACGTGTTGGTAAATGTGGGTATGTTTGTTTGTCTCTCAATGTGTTTATTCTTTAAAACTGTATGTGAATATGCCTTGCTGTCTGTCTTTCTACGTATCTGTTCTATGTCTGTCCAAGTGTTTATCTGTGTATGTATATGTATATATCATTCTTGCTAGGCAGTTTATTTTATGTGGACATAATTCATATGCAAATCGCCTTTTCCTAAGGCTAGCAATTAGATTACACTCTGATTTGATTTTCAACGTGCTCCTCTAAAGATAAAACATATTTAAACACAAAACGCGGTAAAGTTTATTAGGGTATATAATATACTATATTAGTATATTATATTAGTAGTATTTACCATTATTCTCTCGTACTACTATCAACTTTGATTTGTGCGGGTAGTAACATAAATCTAATTAGCTGACAATGACATAGGAAAAATCTACCCATAAATGACATTCCATAATCGTGTCATCATTACCGTTCATGCATATTTAGTTTACTTAGCTATTGATCTTTCACTACATCTGCTCTCCTTTTTTAGCCCCATCGTGGGAGTAATGCATGCTTATTTAAATGGTAATCAGACGGTCAAATTCACTTGCATGACATTGCTGACCTTTCGGAACGTCCCTTGCAATGATATATCTAACGCTATAACTTGACTTTAATTGACCTCTTTGTAGAGGGAAAAAACATGTATCTGGATGACCATAACACAGTTAAATCTCTTAGAATACTGAATACACTTTTTATAAACCAATTTTGCGATGATAATATATCTACCGCACCATTTGCTAACCCAGAGGGACCTAACATACGCTGGATGACAAAAACACAGCATATTAAATACAATGCCTATTCTTTTCCTTTTTTTAAAACACATTTTCGTGCAACGGATACCACACCCAGTCCTCTCCTTTCCTGACCTTGATTGACCTCTTCGTGGAGCAACACGTGCTTGACGAGCTGCACCGTGGCGTAGTCGATACAGCGCATCAGCTCCAAATAAGCGGCGATTCGAAGCTCCGAGTCCATGGCGGGATCGAGGAACACGTGGCGGACGGGTTCGCGGGAGACGCCACAAGGGAACCGTCTGGCGATGTCAAAGCAGGTTTAGAATTGAGGGATGGAATAAAAAAAGGAAAGGGTGAAAGTTAAAGAGACGAAAGACTGTAAAAGAAGGGCATAATGAAAGAAAGAGAATGAATAAGGAGAACAAGAGAATGATAGTGAAATAAAGAAAAAGTAAGAGATGTACACGTAAGAATTTTTTTTTAATAATAATAAAGGAAAGATAGACGAAACATAAAAACTGAAAGAAATAATAACAATAATGATAATAATAACACACAATAAACAAAATAAGTGTTTCCCTCGTATAGGAAAGTAGTTGAATATACTTCGAGAAACCTTCTGTCATCATTACCTAAAAGCGGAGATAGCAGCTAGTCTGATTTCGTTCTCGTTAGCCTCGCTTTGGATGCACTGGTTTAGGGTCGGCGGAATGGTCTCGCCCACGGCCAGACCTGCATTCTCCAGCCCCTTCAGCGCCATCAGGATCTGGGTGTCGAGAAACAGAATGAGGAAAAGGCTGGCGGGATATTCGAAGCATTTCGTTTTAGTGTGTGCGTTGTGAAGTCTGCTTAGTGTAGAATAGCGGTTCCCAACCCCATGGTCGAGACCCAAATGAGGGTCACCGGGGTATTTATGAGGGTCGCCAGAGGGTCTTAAAAGAAGAATAAAAGAATTTACAGCTGGATATGTCAGTAAAAGTTATTATTTTTTTATTAACACTTGTTTATTGGAATTCAATGTGCTGGTAATATAACCCTATAAAAGTATATAATAACGTAAGCTAATATACATCTGCAAGTATAACTACCATGAAAATGGTTGGATATATTACTACATGTTCACACATCTAGGGTCGCTAGCCCAGGCTAAGACTATCTTTAGGGTCGCACCCGAAAAAAGTTTGGGAGCAATGCTTCCTTCGTTATTATCTACTTGTACTTCATTGAAGATTTCGACGAAGAGAATTTGCTTGCATCTAGAGAAGTTTTTAGATTTCATAATAGACAAAGATCTTGCGCAGACTGGAATGATGAGAAAAAATATATCCTTACATAGTATAAAAAAAAGACGTACACATGCTAAAAATGCAAATTCTCTCCGTACATTCTTCTGCTTGTTTTTTTCCAAGCCGAGTTGAAATATCAGGGCAAAATTGATATAATATGAAAGAACCCTCATTCCTCTGTTTTTCCGAGTAGTATTCTATTCAAATACAAAGACCTTTCCGTTACAATATGTTATGAAACCATGAATTAAATCGCTTTCCTTCGCCCACCGAGATCCCACTTGAAATACACGCGTTCGGGAGCTCCCCAGCGCCTCCTTACCTGGATCTTGTCATCAGAAGACTCCCTGTAGCAAGATTCTTCCAAGAAGCCGTGGAGGGCGCCCATGACTCGCTGCACGGGCGGCTCGCTACTGCAGGCTGGGTGATCTCGACAGTATGAGTGGACCAGCGCGCCCACGCCCAGGAAGGCGTCGGCGGGCACGGCCTCCGTCTCGAGCAAGGGCGCCGCCATCTCGATCGTGTCCAGGTCGGGTCTGGGAGGAATGGGGGAATTAGGGGATTCACACACTCACTCACCCACTCACTCACTCACTCACTCACTCACTCACTCACTCTCTCTCTCTCTCTCTCTCTCTCTCTCTCTATATATATATATATATATACAAATACACACACACGCACGCACACACACATATATATAATGCAACATAGACCCCTACTGGATCCAGCTCTACGCCCACCCTCCCCCCAACGAAGCCTCAAAGGAAATTCCTTCCCTCACACCCACTCAAACGCCCCGCCCCGCGCCTCACCTGGGAATGAAGGACAGGGAAGTGAGCCAAGTGTTGGTCATGATGTCGTTGACCTTCCCGCCCTCCATCAGGTCCCTCATCACGCCCACGCTCGCGCCCGTGCCCACCATGGGGAGAGCGTCGTCGAACACACCTCTGGAATTGAAGTTTTTTTTATTGCAAGATTTTCGTATATTTTTTTGGGTATCATTTTCTTAGAGCATTTCACAGGACTATATTTTTTCAGCTTGCTTTTGGTTTCTTTATATCTGATAATATATATTTTTATCTTTATTTTCTTATCTAATCATTGCCTTAATCTATCTTTTTGTCTATTATTGTCTGTCTCTCTGACCTGTCTATCTCTGTGTTTTATCATTCTAGCAATTTGTTTATTCTGGGCATATCTTAACAACTATCTTCTATCTATCTGTCTCTTTTATACTCAAGTCCCTCATTCAGCTTGTATCTCAATTACCTCATTCTGTCTATTAGTCTGTTTATGCCCAGTTATGTCTTCTTGTTTATTTTTTTTTCTCCTGTCGCTGTTATACTCCCTATCTCCCCACTGATTCATTCCAAAAATTTGTCCATTACATCTATTACCCCATCGATCTTTTAATCACTACATCGAGGTGCCGAAGCGCAATGTGCCTATTATATCTAGCATCTCTTTGTCTAGACATCGACCTTTTAATTACTAAAGTAATATAGGTATCATATCTATCATCTCTTCGTCGTGCCATCGATCCATTTTATCACAACACTCCCTCACCGCTCGGGTCCCCACGCACGCTCCTCGGAGATGGCCCACAGCTGAGCGAAGTCGAGGTGCCGGAGCGACTGCACGAGCTCCTTGAACAGGCGAGGGGCGCTGGTGGCCACGCCTTCGACCTGCAAGTGGGAGGAATGAGAGACATCAGTAGATTGCATTTTGTGTGTGTATATGATCTAGTAGTATTGTGTAAATAGCGAGTGTTTGGCAGCAGGAAAGGCATCCGGTTGTAAGAGAAATAAAAAAAGGCATGATGCTCATACAGGTTTGAAATATTTACAAATCTATGAAGGAACCGGATCCAAAATGAGCTTTATTATTAGATGTGAACGAAAATGGAAACACATGAATAGAAAATAGACTATCGTAAAAAAATGTTTCGACTCCAACCATACTCTTCGTCAAACGACAAAATTACGAAATCAGTGTTGCCAGTCGAGCAATTGTGATCTAACGAAAAAAAAATGAAAGTATATCATATTAAGCGATTTTTAAGTCTT